TTGTATAATAAAAAACCAAAAGGTGATAATTATTAAAATGTAAAAGGAATTGTATAATCATTTGTATAATAAAAAACCAAACCGTGATAGTTATTAAAATGTAAAGGAATAATTGTCTAATCAAAGTGTGAGATGTAGGTTATACAAAAAGGAAAAAGGAAGAATCTTTCCAAAGCCAAAAGTCCAAAACATGGTTTGTTAAGATGGGTAACACATGGTGATCGGTCGGTTTAGGTTTAAGTTAATGGTTAATTAAACACCATTGTAAATCTCTACAACCATCTACCACCACCTAACACCATTTTCATTTACTCTAAAATGATGCAAATAGCAATTCATTTCAATCCTAACACCATTTTTCACATCAAAAGAATACTTGAAATATATTTCTTTCTAATTTAATTATAAATATCTTTTATATTAGGTTTTTTTTTATCACATATTCATGTTACATCTTTGGCAAAAGGTCATGAAAGTTGTTTCAGATCCATCATAGTTGTAGTGGTATTCACCACCACGATCAGATCTTATGATCTTGATAGTCTTGTCTTATTGATTTTCAACTTCGGTCTTAAAAGACTTGAATAAATCTTGTATCTTTGATTTCTTTTTTAACAAATAAAGATAACCATATCAAGAGAAGTCATGTTTAAAATAGATAAAATATCATTCACCATTACCAAATTGTTGTCTTCCTTTGGACCAATTAATATTTACATGAAATTATTCCACAAATTAACACGTTATAGATTCACTAACAAATTTGTCTTATGGAAGAGGTCACTTCGTTGACATTTCTATATCAATTAATCACATAACCAATGAATCATGTAACATCCAAAATTTTCAACCAATTTTTTTCATTTTTTAAAATAAGAGTTATCAGCCAAAAACCATTTTTCAAAAGTAAGATAAAATATTCATTTGTTCAAAACATATCACATCATGTTCAAAAATCAAAGTAACAACAAATCAAAGTCATCATGTAAAATCATACCGATGGAAGTCTCAAGAAATAAATCTCATGATGCAGCCTAGTCAGACCGTGTTCTCCCCCTTCTCAGTAGAACAACTTGAAAAACATTTAAATTTACAGGTAAACACAAAGCTTAGCGAGTTCCCCAATATATCATATATTTTACCATACTCATGTGAATGTTATACTCCAACCATACCCACATCTGATTGATATAATCCAACTATAGTCTTAACTGCTATAGTCCAACCATAGTCTTGTCTGCTCTAGTCCAACTATAGTATTCCATACAACTGTTATAGTCTAACTATATAGTCCTTATACAATTGCTATAGTCCAACTATAGTCTTTCATACAACTGCTACAATCTAACTATAATCTTTCATACAAATGCTATAGTCAAACTATAGTCTTTCATAAAAAATACATCATGTACAAGAAGACATACAATGTCACACATAATATAATGAGAAAACTCACATGATGCTAGCAAGCACAGTCTCACAGGTCTCAAAGGAATAACAGCTAGCACGAACCACTTAAAACCATATATAGGTTGAACCTCAATCAATAACTCATATCCAACAATGTTTGACCAAAATTCTAACTGCTCAAAAGTCAACAGTCAAGGACCTATGCGCGACCCAACACCTGCTCGCGTTGTGATCACTAGGCGACAAAATAGTCGTGATCCAACTCAAATCTCGTAATACGACCTTTCTTTGGTCGTGTCGTTCTCTTCAAGGCAGAACCTTCTTTCTATTGATCACTTAATCCCTTAAGACCAAGACTCATACTCTTAGATCTTAATCAAACAAAGGTCTTAATGGATAAAGTTTTCAACTTTATCCAGATCTTTGGCTCAATCAACCAGAATACTAAACCCTAAATCAAAAGGAGTCTAAAACGGCCAAAACCTTGTGCATGGCTCGAAGAGAGTCCAAACATGCACTCACATGACCCCAAAAATGTCTAGTAACCATCCATAAATAAGTACAATATTCTGGAGTTCTCCAAACTCCAAAACATCAAGAAAAGGACACTAAATGACCAAAAATACATTCAACCCATGGATCTATGCATAAAACAACATAAATCAGGAAACTTTAAACATCGCAAAGCTTGTAATAGGTCTAGAAGGCGAAATCTTCTACTAGAATGACCTTTGCAATGCACCAAAGGCTCACTTCTTCACCGAGAATCACTCAAAATCTCAAGAATACAAGTAAAGAGTGGTGAGAGACTATGATTCCTCATCTGAGAGTGGAGGTTGATGGAGAAAGCAACCCTAGATGTTAGCTCCTTTAGATAGGGTCCAAATCTCGAAAGCAAGGTTTTTGTGCAAATAGCGGTGTTGCCCTGCGACTATCACTTAAGTCGCATCGTGCTTAACAGTTTACCTTCGTGTTGTGAACAAGGCTTGAATGTGTCACGAAGTTGCTTCCCATAAAAACTGTCCTTTCTAGATTACTTGAAATTAAACACCTGCAAATAAAATATAATAAAAAAGTAGGCATTACAAATCAACTACAAGATAAAAATTTCAAATGCAAACATTCAAATTCATTCGATTTTGATAAATTCATCTCAAAAATAAAACCTATGAATTTGAACTTCATGTAATGAAACATCATATACATATATGATGCATTGATGGGTCTCGTCCGCCGTTTATGAAAAACATCAAGTTTAATATTTTTTTAATAATTTAAAAATCATTTCTTACGATCTAAATAAAAATTGATTTTTATTACCATTTGTTATAATCATAATTCAGATACATAGATTCAAGTTTGTGATCATTCTATAAGAACGTCCTTTCATTTTTTGTGTACCATATCATCCTAGTTCCAATCTTTTCTATTAATGAACTGCGCTTTCAATTTTTATCTTATTATGATATTATACTTTAAAAATCAATCCAATCATGGTAAAAATTTGTTTATTATTTAGGGGGTGTTTGGGGTTGCTTTTAGAATGACTTTTGGCTTCTAACTTTTCTAAAAAGTCAAAAAATAAACAAAAGGTGTTTGGGTAATAGAAAAGTCCTTTTGAAAATGACTTTTGCATAGAGGAAAATAAGGGCTTTAAAAAGTCACAAAAACCCGACTTTTTGTGACTTTACATGTAAAAGTTAACACAAAAGTCATTTTGCTAATCCAAACACATTTTAAAGAGCTTCTTTTGCAAAAAGTCATTTTATAAAAAGTTATTCTAAAAAAATGACTTTTGATGTTCAAAAGTAATCTCAAACACCCCTTAGATGTCATTGTCATCATTGGATAGAATTTTTAAGAGTAAAATGATGTATTTCTCATTTATTGTGAACATGATCTCACATCGTTAATAATCATGCCGCAGTGTATCATAACTCTTTGACAAATTGTTGTTTTCCTTTGGACCAATTAATATTTAATCAATTAAACTTATATATAAAACGTAGCTTTAGGCATTTTGATTTAGTTTTTTTCCAGACCAAACTAAACCTAAAAATCCGGTTTTCTAAAAACCAAAGTTTTTTCATAACAATTTGGGTTTTATGTTACAGTCTTTTTCGGTTATATAAAACAGTATTGTTTTAGGCATTTTGGTTTAGTTTTTTTCCAGACCAAACTAAACCTAAAAATCTAGTTTTCTAAAAACCAAAGTTTTTTCATAACAATTTGGGTTTTATGTTACAGTCTTTTTCGATTACGGTTTGGTTACAGTTTTTGTGCACATCCAGTGTAATAATATAATATGAAGAAACAAAAATAGGATGCGATACTGAACAAATCAATGAATCTCCTTCATGCTTAATCATCTGGTAGTAGTTTACGTTGATAGATGATAGAACAAAACATGTATTATAACATCCTACTTTCAATTCTTTTAAATTTAAATAAAATCCTTATTTTTTATTTCATTATTTTTTTGCCTTGAAGGAACACCAGTAGGCTTCAAGATTATTCAAAAGTGGTAATACACCGTTTTGAAACATATTTGCATTGTTTTTTTGAATGGCTGGTTAGTGATTAGAAGTTAGTATCACCAAATTAGTTACATTCGTAAATTCTCATAGTAGAACCCGAGACCTTCGATATGTGTTTCATACCATATTTTGTATTATTATACTTTAATAATTGTTGGTGATTTGTTATCATCAATATTATTTAAGTGTAATGGGATTACTTTGTTGACCAAAAGTGGTCTTGATAAATATTAAACAAGTAAGGAAGGTGTGGAGTACACACTTGTTTAAGTTTGATCAAGTTTCAAAGTACACTGTCATTTAGGGGCGAAGCCCCTAAATGAACGGGGGTCTGGGGCAGTGCCCCTGGGAGCGGGGTCCAAAGGGCGGCAGCCCCTGGCGGGGTCCAAGGGGCAGAACCCCTGGCTGGGGTCGAGCTTCGGTTTGACCCGTGTTAGAAATTGGGGTATTGACCATTGTTTGACCCGTATCCAAACTTCCGTTTTTATGTCAGTTTTTATAATTTTATGACAGTTTTTAACTGTCATATGACACTTTTTAGACAAAGATCATAAAGTTGGTTTTGGTCTCATTTCTGGTACATACGAAACTATCATAAAAACATTCTAAGTTCTTGTCTCGTTTCTCTGAGTCTTATCCGATTAAAGAATATTGGGAGTACCACCCAAATGCTTTAATCTGAAAGTGTTTAACACAATTCACAGAATTCCAAGCCTTTCTATACCCCAATTTCTAACAATAATAATCAAGAATTTCATAATGAAAGTTTTAGAATATGAAATTTGAAAAGAGAGTTTTCAACTTTAACAAATAACATAATCAAATTTCTATGTTTGTAAAAATGATATTATATAATACTTTTTATTGAACAAAAGATAAAACCGTGAGAAGGAATAGAGGATTTTTATCAACCCAAAAGGGAATTTACATAGAAACTAGACATATGAATTGCATCATAAAAACACATAATACTTGTTTGACCAATCTTTTTCAATCAAATCGAAACTTTCAACTCAGATCCACTTCACGTAAAATAGAAAATTACCTTTCGATTTAAATCGATTGAGAGTGGGAGTCTGATTCATGTGCGTAAGCTTCGCTATCACAATCGGGGACATCCTTGAACAAAGCAGTAGGGAATCTCTTCCGCAAACCACCCGTAACATTAAACACGAGCATATCAGAACCCGATTCCATATCCATACCCGAAACACTCATCCACGACAAAGATTCTTTTTCTTCAATGCCAGAGACGACAGAGACTGATCCATTACTCAATCTGCCTCCGATGTTCATGTTGTAGAAGACGATCTGAACGCCGAATGTAACGAAGCAGGGACGTGTGAGCTGAACGGAAAACGTGCCGTCGGTGGGGATGATATAGTAGGGATTGGACGGCGTTGGGGAGGATCCCCTTTGGTAGGCCGTATATGGGCAGGATATCGTGGAATTTCAAGGCGATGGTTGTGGCGCTGAGGTAGATTGAGATCAGAGTGATGAGTAGTGATCGGTTGATGGACGCCATTGATGAATTGTTATTTGTTGGAGTTTAGTTTACAGAGCTTAGAGTCAACTCGAAGGATAATGATGATTAGAACGAGTTTTGGAGTTGCTCTTTTAAATCTAGATGTCACATTTGTATAATCAGAAACCAAAACGTGATAAATTGTAAAGGAATTGTATAATCGATTTGTATAGTAAAAACCAAAACGTGAAAAAGGTAGGAATTGTATAATCTAAGTGTGATTCATAATAAAAAATTGAAACGTGAAAAGTGTACAGGAATTGTATAATCAAAAGTGTGATTCATAATACAAAATTAAAAGGAAAAAGGAAGACTCTTTCCAAAGTCAAAATGTCTTAAATAGGTTAAACATGGTTTTAATTGTTAATTAAAGGGAAAATGATATCATAGCCTTATAAACTTTTGGTTTTTGTTTAAAATGATTATTTAAATTTTTTAGTAGTTTAGGGGCATACAATTCAAGTTTACCCGTTAAAAAAGTCATTTAACCCGTTACGATAGGTATTATGACATGTGAATACTTATTGTTGATAACACTCTGATGATGATGGTTACTGTGTATTTACTATTAGTACTCTTGAATGAAGAAATATATTTTGTATGTGTGTATTCTGGTTTATTTTGTACCAAATTTTTGGTTTATTTGAGTAAACGATTGTGTTGGATTAAGCACGGAATTGTACAAAATGTTAATTGATCAACTAAACGAGTTGGATAAGTTAAGTTAGATTGATGGGATCAGTTAACTTAGGTTAGACATAATATAAAATAACCTAACGTGTCATACTAAGATTATAAATGTATGTCTGAAAATATGTTTATGTTTATTTCATAATGCACAATATGTAAACCGCCACATCCTTATTGTAAATGTCATCCGATTCATACGTTTATATGAAGGTGGAATTGTCCAAAATGTTAATGTGATCCAATTCATATGCACAAAATGTTAAGGTACATGAGTTCACCAACATACATATGATTTGATATAGAAAATTTTCCTAACTGTCGCATCATATTGTAAAGTAAAAACATGATATAAATACACACAAACATACATAAAACTTACTTAATTAAACTAAAGGAGTTAAAAAAAATTGAAACATGTTCATGGGACGATAACAAGTAAAAATACACACAAAGAAATTTAGTTGAGAATTAAACACAAACCATCAAACCTAATCCAACTCCAATGATTTTGTTGAACTATTACATTTCCCATTTTTTCCTTCTACTTTTTTCGGCAACTTCTTAAATATCATTTCTAATCTTTTTTGCATCTTTTGCTTTCCATTCCCTTGATCCTCATTTAACCTACTTGTTTCCTCTTGTGACATTGACTCGACACATTCTTGTTGAGCTTTTTTATATTGTCCCACCTTTTTTCTTTTTGTTAATTTTAATTTGGGGTCTTTCCACTTGATTACAAATCGACTTGTTGTGTCCAACATATTTACATAAACCACAAAGAATTCTTTTGCCTGCTTTTGAGACCCGTCTTCCGATTCTCTATGAAGCATCACTTTTCTTCTTAAGGTCATCTGTTATACCCACCACATACCACATATGTTGTGGGTGTCACATCAGCACCACATTCCCCTACCACTAACATGAGATACCTACCACTAACACACCACTCCACATTATGCATTATAATACATGTTAGGACCATTCGTTTAATTCTTTCTTTATCCCAGAGTCGTGTAGCATATTTCACTACATGTCATGTCTACTTAAGGACTCCAAATGCCCTCTCGATATCCTTTCTCGCTGGTTCCTGTTTTTTTATAAACAACTTTGCCTTTTCACTTCGAGGAACCGAGTATGCCTTCATCAATGTAGAATAATCCGGGTATATCCCATTACCAAGGTAGTAACCATATTTGTACGCGTGCTCGTTCACCGTGAACGTGCCTCTCTTCATGAGCCACATATAATCTCTCAAGCCACATGCGTACAATCTAGACTACTAAGCATACCCGAAAATTCATGCCTCTCTTCATGAGCCACATATAATCTCTCAATATCACGATGAGTAGGTTTGCACAAATATTATTCGTGAAAAACCTCATACACACATGCAGAAAACCAATCTACACATTCAACTACGGTCCTCTCGGATACTTTCAAGTATTCGTCAGATGCATCAAATGCTATACCGTATCCCAAATACCTAAGAGCAGCCGCACATTTTTGTATACTACTAAAACTCATTTCTTCCTCTAGCGTCGGGTTTTTGTTTGAAAAAATCATAACGAGATTCTAAAGCATTACTAATACGTAAAAATATAGCCTTATTCAGATGGAAACGACGTTCGAACGAGTCGTCATTATAAAGACAATTATCGGCAAAGTAATCACGTACCAATAAGTCGTATGTGGCTTGGCGATCACGATTGACGACCGCCCTTGTACGAGCAGCATTCGAACTTTCTTCGTCGTAAATGTGTTGCACAACGTTGAAGAATGTCTCGACGAATTCTACGTCGTCATCCGAGTCAAAAATTTTTAAAAATTACATATGTTTTGTGGAATCCATGTGTATGTGTTTTGTGGTTTTAGAGAATGAAGGTTTTGCGAGAGAATGAAGGTGTGTTTTGGTGAAAATAGAAGGTTTATTTATTTGTGTATTGAATTGAGTTTGAAAAAAAAAGGCCAAATGACCGTTCAACGGTCACAAATCAATAACCAATCGTCGATTCCGTTTACATTCGTCGTCGGGAACACGAAGAACAACGACCATGCCCGACAACGGAATGTCGGGGTGGTGTGCACGAAGTTTTCTCGTGGTATGTATACCGCAAGGCCTAATTGTGGTATGTATACCACAAGGCCTAATTGTGAGCCTTCCTGACATTCTCCTTTTATTGGGCGCAATAGAAGAAAAAAGTTTGTTGTGGGTCATATTGAGCTTCGAATCATACCGCATATAAAATATTTTAAAGAATTCATGTAGAAGGTAGCAAGAAAAAATGGATCCACAGATGCCTTAACATTTCTAGTTGATTTCAACTTTGGTCTTAAAAGACTTGAACAAGTCGCATGACTTTGATAACTCATTTATCAAGTAAATATGAGAGAAGTCATCTTTAAAAGAGATAAAACATGATTGACCATTCCAAGATTAAATAAATGTCACCGTGTATCATAACTCTTGCCAAATTGTTGTCTTCCTTTGGAGCAATTGGTATTGGGATTCCATTAATATTTGCATGAAATTATTCCATAAACACCTTATAAATTCAATAAGAAAAATTGTCTTACGGTAGAGACCGTGACATTTCTATATCAATGAATCAACTACACGATAACAAATTTCAAATGAAAACAATCAAATTCATTTCATTTTGATGTATTCATCTCAAAATAAAAACTCATACTTTTTAACATCATATATATGAAACATCATATACTTATATGATGTATTGATGGGTCTCGTCCACTCTTTATGAAAAAATGAAATCCATCAAGTTTAACATTTATTAAAAATTTCGTAATCGTTTCTTACAATCATCAAAATTGGCTCTAATACCATGATTCAAATGCATTCAAATACATAGATTCAACTTTGTTCTTTTATAACGTCCTTTTTCGTTTTTTTTTTCCTTTTTTTTTTGTGTACCATAACATCCGAGTTCCATTATTTTCTATTAAAGTATTCTACTTTCAATTTTTCCCTTATTATGACATTGTATTTTAAAAATAGATTGAGAAAAAATTATCGTTATCATCGAATAGAATTTTATATAGTAAAATGATGTATTTTCTCAATTGTTGTGAACAGGATTATGTTCGGTTTGGTTTTTGACTAAAAACGAAAATGAACCAAAAACATTTGACTTTTGATGTTGTTAAAAGAAATTATTGATTTTTCGGTTTTGATTTTCCAGTTTTCTAGTTTTTTAATATTATACTAGGTGTGAATCCCGTGTACTACACGGGTTGTTTAAAAAAAATAATATATAAAGATATAAACTTTAAATATTTTTTTAAAGAAAACATTAAATATCAATAAAAAACAACAAAGTATGATTATTTTTTTTTATATAGACCATTTTGCCTAAATTACAATGAACTTAGAAAAAAACATGTCAATTTTGAATTTTATATATTGAAGGAAACATATTTAAATTTGAAAATATAGGGAAACAAATTAATGACATATTAATTACTTTCTATAACCTAAAAATTAGATAGTTAATTAAGAAAATCAAAAATTACCACAAAATGACAAGTGAAAATTAATTTCTAAGAATTAACCACAAAATTACATGTGTCCAAATGCATAAGAAATTGACAAGTGGCAAAAAGTTCTTTATTTATTAGGGAGAATTTAATCTTTTGTGTTTTTTCATTTACCATGATAAAATATAACAAAAAAACAAGTAATATACTAAAAAGTAATACAAGATGACGTAAATCCATGTTTATTATTTTAATTTTCAATAAAAACCGAAGATAAATATTAATTATTTCAATTATTTAATTTATTTAATCAATTAAACTCATATAAAACGATATCATTTTAGGTATTTTGGTTGGTTCGGGTTTTTCAGACCAGACAGAACCTAAAAATCCAATTTTCTAAAAACCAAAGGTTTTTAATCACAATTCGGAGCATTTAATTTATTGGAGTACTCTTAGATGTTGTTTCCTATTGACTTGATGAATCAATTAGATCCTTATAATTGTATCTTCTTCCTTTGATGCTTCATACCATTTTGTGTCTTATTATACTTTGATAATAATAATAATAATAAAAATTCATTATGAAAGTTTTAGAATATAAAATTTGAAAAGAGTGTTTTCATCTTTAACTAATAAGACAATCAAAATTTTATGTTTGGAAAAATGAATTGAACAAAAGATAGAACTAGAAACATGAAAAGGAATAGAAGATTTTTATTAATCCAATTGAGAATTTACATAGAAACTAGACATTCAAAAGGAAAATATTTACTATTTAGAACTTACATCATAAAACACTTGGTAACAGATTTGTTTGACTCGAAATCTTGCTCAAAATCCCTGCAAAAAAATTCAATAGTATGAATGAAAATTCAAGTTCTTGAAGAATCCTCCATTGCCAATGTTCATTCATAATCCTTGATAACTGGAGATACGATCAATCATGGGGTCAAGAATAGAGAGGGTGTCTTAAATGCAGTTATTAAAACAACTAAAATCATTAATTAAGTATATTAATCAATGAATTCGTTCAAGTTGCAACATTTAAAATCGTGTCGATGATCTGTATGATTATCGTATAATCAGATAACTAAATCAATATACATCTATATACCAATTAAGTTTAGAATCTGTCATAATTGAAGTCGATCATCTTATGTACAGAAGTAAGAGTATCTTTTTAATCTAGACTAGAGATCCACTTGGCATACAACAGAATTACCTTTGGATTTAAATCGATTGAGAGTAGGATTCGTCATCATCTGCGTAAGCTTTGCTCTTACAATCGGGCACATCCTGGAACATATCAGCTGGCAATTTCTTCGACAAAGCCCCAACATGAAACTCGAGCATATCAGAACCCGAATCCATATCCATACCAGTAACACTTAGCCACAAGAACAATTCTTTGGCTTGAATACCGGAAACATCGGAGACCGATCCGTAGCTCAACTTGCCTTCGATGTTCTTGCTGTAGTAGACAGTTTGATCTTCGAATTTAACGTAGCAGGGACGTTTAAGCTGAACGGTGAAGGCGCCGTCGGTGGGGGAGATATTGTAGGAATCGACGGCGTTAGGTAGGATGCCCTTTGGCAGGCCGTATTCCGGGAGGAGATCGTGGATTTCGGTGGCGATGGCGGTGGCTGTGAGGTGGATTGAGATTAAAGCGATGAGTAGTGATCGGTTGATGGACGCCATTGATGGATTGTTGGAGATTAGTTTACAGAACTCAGAGTCAACTCGAAGGCTAATAATGATTAAAACGAGTTTAGGAATTGCCCTTTTATATCTAGGGTGCTCCTATGTACACGAATAAAATCGTGTAATTGAGCCCTATGTACACGAATAAAATCGTGTAATTGAGCAACAAAGTCTCCGTCCCATCATCTTCCGTCACTTTGAATGAGGATTTTCAATTTCCTTTATGTTTTTTTATTTTACTCCTTTCAACTTAGATGTAAGTTTGAAAAGATATCTTTTTTCTAATTTTTATATTATACTCTAATAGTTAATTATTGATTTGAAATATATATATATATATATATATATATGTTCTTAATAATGAACTCCTCGTTAAGATCTCGTTAAAATTCCAAATAAAAAGATATATATATATATATATATATATATATATATATATATATATATATATATATACACGAATTTAGATCTTGGTAGTCGAGTATTCCGTAACGTAATATTCCTGTTTTTCCGGTTGCTGAGCACCACCATCATGTTAGTCGAATTTAGATCTTGTTAGTCGAGTATTCCGTAACGATGGCTACGAATCTAGATCTTGTTAGTCGAGTTTCCGTTAATATTATCTAAATTCGTATATCCATGTCGGAAACCACAGAAACTGGTACACCGTAACGTAAAACTACCTCCTTGATATATATATATATATATATATATATATATATATATATATATATATATATATATATATATATATATATACCTTTCTAAAATATTTTGTCGTATTAGCAACGCACATTAATCTGTCATTAAAACACCACCATAAATCTTGTTTTATCTGTTAGGCTTTGTTAAAATTGATGAAAAAAAATCCATTCATATTCATTAATATACAGTTTCTATCATCCATAAAGAATTTTTAGCATTATCATATTTTACTTTTTAGGCTTAGTTAAAATTAATATAAAAAAAATAGAATTCATATTCTTTAATTTTATAAATGGACAAATATAAACAATATATATTTGTGAAAAAAAGCTCATTGTGTACAGCTTCATTTAGACGATAAATTTTAGAAAAAACTTGATTTATTAGAATGTAAAGATGACGATTTGGGTTGTAATGTTGAGGTAAATATGTTTAATGCTCATTACGAAAAAAAGTTAAGTTTAGCAAGAATGTTACTAAACTTAATCACGCCGTCAACAACTTCGGTTTGTGAACCTGCTACTCACAAAACTGCTCGTAGGCGCCGCTCCTTACAGAAGAAACTTTTCTGAAAAACTCATATCGGATAGGCATATCATGTACTCATTCCGAGAATTACCAAGACATCTCAAGCAAAGATGGTTCAACATGTTTTCCACTTTGGCTTGGTCTCCAAAACATCTCAACTCATAGAGCGGTTATTATTGCTTTTGTTGGAGGTGATCATTATGTGATAATATATATATATATATATATATATATATATATATATATATATATATATATATATATATAGGTTCAGGTGTTTTAACTAAGTATTGTGTTATTGTATGCATCAATGTGGGCCAATCAAAATTAAATAATAAAATAAATAAATAAGGGTAAGTTAGTCATTTGTTCAATAACTTCCAAAAATAATCCATATAATCATGGTATCTCTCCAGTTTAAATCTCGTTCCCCTCTTTATCTAAAAACCGATTCTGAAAACCCTAAATTGAACAAACCCCTCGTTCCACCGATTCCGAACTAAAAACCTTATAATTTGTAAAATCGGATTTTTAAAATTAATAGAATCTTTGATCCTTTAAAATATGCAAATTTCCTTTATTAAATCTAGGTTAACTGACTAAAATACCCTTCTAGTTAAATTAGATGGTATTTTTCAATTATATTTAATTAAATAATATGTATTAATCACTTTCTTAAAATAAGTAAAATGATTGGCCCACATTTATGCATACAATAACACAATAATTACTTTGAATAGAATAACCTAGGCCAATATATAAATATATATATATATATATATATATATATATATATATATATATATATATATATATATAGGGTGAGGTTCAATAAAGAACCATAATTAACCAAGGAACCAAGGAACCAATCTTTTTTTCAACTTTTACAACTTATTTTTTATCAAAAAAAAAACTAAAAATACAGAAATTCATAACTTTTTATCATTTTTCCAATGATATGAAATTCGATTTTTTTTTATTTTTTTACGTCAAATTCACAATGTGAATCTTTGAAAATTCACAACGTGAATCCGGATTCACACGGTGAATTCGAAAAATATTTTTCACATTCACAATGTTAATATATGAATTTAGATATTTTTAGATTTTTTTTCGATAAAGAATAAGCTCTAGAAATTGAAAAAAAGATTTGGTTCCTTGAAGAACCAATAATTATGGTTCTCTATTGAATTTTTTCATATATATATATATATATATATATATATATATATATATATATATATATATATATAAACTAAAGTTTTAAAAAGTATAAGGTTTGATTTGAAAATCAAATATAAATGTAAGGATATTTAATGTAAATTGAAGAGTAACATTTCATGAATTTGCATAACCACGTGACAAATTTAATATAAGACAAATTTAATATAATATACTTAAAAATGGCTAAGTTTAGTAAATGACATTTATCATTCAATCAACTCATTCGTGTATTTGGAATTCAATCAACTCATTCGTGTATTTGGAATTCAATCAACTCATTCGTGTATTTGGAATTGAGTTCGTGCCTTTAGAATTACCCTATATCTAGCTGTCACATTTGAATTTGATAAGGTGGTTATAATGTGACATCTAGCGTAACATTTTTGTATTCTATTTTTTTTTTCTTAATAATTTAATGAGTAAATTACAATTTTGGTCTTTCTGATTGGTACTAGTTTTGTTCAATTTTTTAAAAATTGATATGGATGATTATCCGTGTTTCAAAGAAAACCTTAGCTCCCGTTTGATAGTTTCTGTCTGGAAAAGTGTTGTCTGGTAAAGTGCTGTCTGAGAAAGTTTTCTGATTGGGAAAGAAACCATGCTGTTTGATTGTATATCTGATTGACTGTGCTGAATGATGAAAAAAAATAATAATTCAATAAAAAATAAATTTTAAAAAAGTTATTCAAAAAAAAATTAATAATCCAAGAAAGAAAGAAAGAGACGGGGTTTGGTGCATAATTGTCTTTCCAGCCCATTCAGCCAGAAAGATATGATTTTGGGGCTTTCTAGGAAAGACATATCTTACCGGGAAAGACCATTTTTTTTTTTTGTGCAAATCAAACAGTCTTTCCGGTCCATTTAGCCAGAAAGATCTGTTTGGACCTGGAAAGATGCGTATCAAACGGGGCCTAATTATCCTGTTTTAAAAATGCCTTATCATTATATATGTATTGTAGAGAAGTTTTTCTAATATATATTTATATGATTACACACTCAAATTGTATCATCAAACCATAATACTATAGAACAAACTCTTACATGGGATTACACACATTCATAGAGATTGTATCGTCAAACAATAATATTACAGAACAAACCGTGACTCTTTTTTGCAATAGATTAAACATTAATGATGATTAGTAGGCATTCTTTGCAAAATTACGGATTTTCTTAGGATAACTTCTCCTTCACGATCGGAGATAATTATAAGCTGCTTGCTTTCCTTTTTGTACATTGTCGTTTATCTTAAATACATGGAGTAATGGCAAAAAAATTGGTCTGTTGGAGAATAACCACTACTCGAAATCAACTTAGGGAAATGACTTACTTATGTGTTGATGTATGGAAACACAATCAAACATTGGCGGTTTTAGGGTGGGTCCATGGTGGCACCGGCAACCCCTGACTGTTCCGTACGCAGTGGAAAAAATTTAGAAAATTTTCGCAATTTTTACTTTTTCTACTGTCGTGCAACCTCTGACTTTCCTGTGACACCCTACTGTGAAATCATTCGTCTGCCTCTGCAATCGAATCAAGATAAAAACGATTGACCTACAATCTGAAGGGTCCCAAAAACTAAATAGCAATAACCAAACAAAAACCTAAAGTTATGATCTTCAAACCCTTAAGTAAAGAAAAATACAGGCCCTCACTAGTAATTAACGAGTAGAAATTATGACTCTAGTATGCATGGTTGAAGCTTATAATTAAGGACCCCAACAACTACATAGTAACAACCACACAAAAACTTAAAGTTATGATCTCCATACCCTTAAGTAGACGGAAATAAAGGCCCGCACGAGTAATTAGCGAATAGAATTTATGAATCTAGTGGGCATGGTTGAAGCTTACGTCGGAAACGAGTGAAACATCAACACTGTAGATGAAAATAGTCGCTTGCGAACAAGTATTGAGTTTTGTTTGGTGGGGCCGATGACTTATTTATTAATATAACCCGCGGAGAACAAAATATAATCGTGAAAGTTTAACGGGATGCCATTTATGTCCGAATCAGCATAGTGCGAGTTTGCAAGTTTTTTTCGCAAGATTTTGGTTATTTTCATAGAGTTCAAAAAATTATGGTTGTGTAATGATATTAAAGTTTCCAATATGATATTTTTATAAATAACTCTTTGTTTATTTGTTTATTTTTTTTCTATTTTTTATTTTGAAATTTTAGATTATTTGTCACACTTAAAACTGTGTGCACACCAAATTGAAACCGGTAACCTAAATTCAAAAGCAAATTAAAATCCCGAACTTAAAAATCAAATCAAAATCAATGTGAATTTCATTAAAACAAAGAAAACTATTGTGCACCACTAAATTCAACTAAGTCTTGAAGTTTTTAATAACGACATATGGGTTTCACTAAACCAAAGAAAAAAGGCCGGTTATGGCACAGAAACAATGTACAATATGACTGAGAAGCCAAATACTCCAAAAAAAAAAAGTAATAACACCCGGATTGAGTATCTAAATTACACAAAGAAAACAAGCTATAATATGAATTTGAGAGATGGATTGGGACTTGTGAT